TCTCTCGCTCTCTCTCTCTCTCTCTTCTCTTCTCTCTCTCTCCCCTCTCTCTCTGTCTCTCTCTCTCTCTCTCTCTCTCTCTCTCTCTCTCTCTCTCTCTCTCTCTCTTTCATCTCAATCACCAACCTCAGCACTCAGCGGTCCATTCCCATCCACCTGCTCCTCGTCCTGTTTCTTCGATTTTGAGCTGAAAGCGTTTGTTTAAAAAATCCTGAAAATCCAGGATTGAGTAGTATTTGACACTTTATGCGTCATTTTGTAGCCCTTGCGCTCCTCTACCCAGCAAAATATGCCCCCGAAGCCTGAACACTAACCACGGCCGAGATATCGGGCCAGGAAGCTTAAAAATTTGAATTTTCTGAAAATCCCGATCCTAATTGGCCCCTAACTTTCGAAAAAATCAGTAATTTTTCACGAGCTCAAAATCGACAAATATCTACGTTGTGAGGGCTTTCCCCAGGTATCGACAACTTTTTACGAAATCACGCCTTGATGAGATATCGATGTATGCAGATTTTTTTTGGGGTCGTCCGGGTTGGTTTTCGGCCAATATTTCGCCCGCCGTAATTTCCAGGGCTTTTTTTAAAGCATCGTTTTGTTCAGATTGCAATTCCCTATGGAATGCCCCAGCATTTACGCGTAAAAAAATACTTTGAAGTTTCAAAAGCCTACTTTTGTCGGGTTCGCGGCAGATTTTCGTCGCGCATCTCGTGGTGTCCATCATTTAATCCACTCTCTTCTTCTCGTTCTCCATTCTCCATTCTCAAACCCCAATCTGAGCCCCTAAAAGAAAAATCCGTTTGCGGCGTAATCGAATAGGTTTTTAGATTCGAAAAAAATTGGAAAATGGAAAATGAAAATTGCGATTCTTTGCGGAAAACCGCGGGAAATTCGAAAGGCAATCTGGCAGCCAATTCGTATAAAAAAGTCTCGGAAATGGAATTCAAGCAAAACTGAAGGCTACAAGCTACAAAACTATTCTTTTTGGAAGCCAGTTAGAGAAAAAGGCAAACGAGCAGTGATTTTTTACGGAAAACGGCGGGAATTTTATTGTCGAAAGGCAATCTGGCAGGCAGTCCGTATAAAAAAGGTTTCGGAAGTCGAATTCAAGCAAAATTGAAAGCTACAGACTACAAAGCTATTCTTTTTGGATGCCAGTTAGAGAAAAGGCAAACGAGCAGTGATTCTTTGCGGAAAAACGGCACGGATTTGTTGTTGTTTGGGGGTGTGTGGCGGCGGTCTCTATCTCGGGGTCTGAGGGAAGCGACGGCAACGCGGGGCTACTATCCACACGGCCTCTCCGCCCGCCATTTCCACTTCACACCAGGGGGGACCACGGCATCTCGATGGCCCGCAATGCCGACGTGTGATTCAGGGCTCTTTTTTGAGGAAAAACAGGCAAAAATTGGCAAAATCTTTGTTGACTTAAAACTGTTTATTTAGATTCTAACTTCAAAGGAATGGGTCTCCAGAGTTTTGCCGAAGAGACTGCGCTGATTCGAATGCGGCTCAAACGGAAGAAACTGGGATTTCAAAACTAGTTCAACCAACGTTTCCAAGTTTCCAGGGTAAGGGGCAACAGTCTAGCTCCCGAACCCCCGTTTTTTGAGCCCCAACTCCCATTAATGCGCCGAATACCTCGCCGCCCTCGTCAAGTTGTATTTCCCCTGGAAAAGATTAGGTCGCTGGCGCTGTGTCGCTGTTCCCAATTCAAATATTTTAATTTTTCGTAATTTTTCGTAATTTTTCTACTCAAATATGCAGTAGTCTTATTCTACAGATCAAGGGCTACATTTTGGTACCCTTGCCAGTTCTGTAAGTCCAGCGAGGGCCGAGAAAACTCACTTTGGACCGGCAAAAATTCACTAAAGGAAATCCAGATTTATGATTGTTATAAAAAATTCCTAATAGAACTTATGTCCGAAAAGATATTCAATTCACATTCAAAGAAATTCATAAACATCTGCCAATTATCGATAGGTTTTCAAATTATCAAGGTCTCCCCCTTATCATTTTTTTGGCATCTGCCGGATTTCGGCCTGGCCGCGCGGCCGTTTGGCTGTGCTGTTTTCCCCCCTACATTTACTATTTTCTAACAATTTCTAAACATTCCCCCATTCCAGCTTACAACCATTTTGCCGAAATCGACCGGATGTTGTGGACAGCGCCTGCAATCCGGAAGGATCGAGTGAAAATCTTGAAAAGGCACTTTCACGAGGCTTTCATCTGCTCATGGAGCCCGAAAGGAGATGTTCTCGCCTCTGGGTCAGTGGTTTTCGACGTAGCAACATATTTTCCTTTTCGACACCTGAATGAACTTTTTCCTATTTCTATTGCTTATTTTCCTATTGATAGCTGGAAACAAATTTCCGAAAATCTGAGTTTTCGAAAATCTGCTTTTCGAAAATATGACTTTCGAAAATATGTATGTGCGCAAATCGGCGGCGCTAGCTACTGTGTTCATTCCGTATATTGGGCCTGCGACGCGAGAGCGTGAGACATTCTTTGGCCCGAGGGGCCAGCTACTGATCGGGCCTATCATCATGCCCTCGGGACAGGATGGCAAAGGAATGAGTTGAGGCGCAATAGCTTTGCTTTAGCAAAAATAGCGACTGACGCCGACGCTAGCGCCGCAGTCCTCAAAACAAGATTTTTCGATCATAAGAGAGCATCAACGGGTCGAGATTCGATGATTGCTATAGAAAAGTACTTCATCTGCTAATATATTGGGTTTTTTAACGCTCTATCAGGAAGATATTCTAATTAGCATTCATAAGCAGCATTCGGCAAGCCCGGGATCAGCAGCTAGCGCCGCAGCCCAAGGAATGGATCCTTGACTCACGCTCTAGCGGCGACGCTCTGTCAGGCCCGACAAAGGAAGCAAAGTCAGTAGCTAGCGCCGCAGGCTCGAAGCATCGGGCGTAGCAATGGATCTGGCGCCGCAGGCCAAAGAATGAGGACTTGATCGGCGTGCTAGCCCCTATAGAATTCATGATTTCTGGATAGAGTCCGGCGGAAAAGCCCCGCGAAGCGGACTTTTTCCACTGCTCGTTAAATGAAGGAATTTCGCAAGGCCCAAAAGAATGCATTTTTAGCGTATGTGTTTCTCCACCTCAGTGCCAAAACAATCCCGAAATTCGGCAGAAATCTTCATGACAGAAAACATACATACTTTTCTCGCTTCAAGGATCGGAAATCGGTTTAGATCGGCTGATTCGACGGCTCGTTTATGGAAACTCGGCAGTTGGGACAACGTCAAAGCGACATAAAGGGAGAGCTGTGTGCTACGACATTACCTGGGCGCGTTGAATGCTAGAACAAAGCCGGCGAATAAGGACGTGCCCGCAATGGATTGGCACAAGTCCGGGGACAAAATTGCCACCGGCTGCTATGATGGCTTTGTGAGAATTTGGGATGCCAAAAACGGTAATTCAATTGTTAAAAGTAATTTTTGTTAACACTTTGACGACAATGGCTGTTTGGGGGAAATTGCGGCGGGGGATAGGGACCCTTTTCCAGTCCCAAATCCGACAAAAATCGCTGCTTTCAGCTAATCTATTTGACGCGGTTTATATCAATCCTATAAGCGTGATATATCAATAAATGATCGTCAGACCCTGGCCTTGATAACGAGCCGTTTTTTTTGTAAATGGTTTGGACCAATATCGGTTTTTCGCTCTTTAACCGAAATGAAATCTTTAAAAATCGGGAACTGATGATGCTTTTGTGGTTAAAATATTGTCAAAGCGCGATCATATTACAATCGGAGGCTTGTTTAAGCATTTTTAAACCAGCGCTCAAAACCCGCTTCGCGGGCCTTGGGCGCTGGAATGCGGCCTTTGCATGAAAAGTTTGACCTTCTGATAGCTCGGGTCCTTTGGACCCCCTTCCCTGTCCCGACCAAACCCGCGAGTGCAACTGGAAAGAATGAGGAAATCTGTATTTTTTCACATTATGCAAATTAGCCTGACCGGACCCCAAAAATGAATAAAACCGGCTTTAACTTTGTAAACTTGTATTTTATCGCGATTCTGAAAATGCCATCGGAAAGAGGAGGGTCGATTCCCCAGGGTGACGGAGAATTAGGGCATTTTGGATACGGGACGGCCCTCAAATCGGGCCTCGAAACTGACCTCCGCACACACACACACACAAAGATACGCGACCAAATTATATAAGGTAGGATTGTTTTCTGAGCGGCAACTTGCAATAGACTTGTTAAATACCGTGCTAAGGTTTAGGTCAAATCAGTTAGACATTGGTAATTTTGTAATCTCTCAAAAGCTATGCATTTTCCGGGTCTCTCGTGTCGAGTGTCGATTGTTCTAGGCGTGTTAAATACTGATATCATCGAAAAGAAAAACAGCGAAAACCGTAAAATTTTTTGCTCGCAGGGTGTGCAACGACCGGGTGTCTCGTAAACCCCCCGCCCCGCCAAAACCTCTCGGCATTTGGGCCCCCCTTTTTTTCTGATGGAGCTGAAATTTGCAGGAGTGGTGCGGAAGGCCAAACTCTATATAACGTGCTTACTTAGAAGGTTCTAGGTGACCGGATACGCGGGGAAAACGCGATAAAACATCCGTAAGCGGATCAGCAGCCATTGGACCATCAGACCCATGGCCCACTTCAATGGGAGTGGCGAAATGGATGGAGATACCATTGAACTTGTCCTTGGCAAAGCATGAGCTCTGTTTTGTGTTTATAAGGTTATGTTGAAAAACGCGCTAGCTTTACCAGCAAAAGCTTTGGTTTTTATGCCAACTTAGCCAAGAATTCACTGTTTTTCGCCTTTTTTGCGTTTTCGCGCGTCTCCTGTCACTTAGAGCTTTCTAACCTAGCACGTTATTAAGTTTTTGGCCCTCCGCACCACTCCTGAAAATTACAGCTCCATCAGATATTAGGGGTCCAAATGCCGAGGGTTTTTTTATGAGACACCCTGTAGTGTGCATCACCGGCGATGCACATTATCGTCAATGTGTTAAGGCAACAACACGAAAACTATGGCCTGTCATCGAGGTCCAATCTTTGCGCTACGCTGGAGTCCATGCGGCAAGTATGTGCTCACGGCTGGTGTGGACAGGTCTACGATTGTCTGCGATTCGATTTCGGGTAAGCGTTGCAATATCTCAGGCTGGAAAGAAAGTTCTGCCATCAGATTTTCGGCTAAAATCGTTGCTACCTCAGATCTGGGCATGCGCTATGTAATTTTGAGCCTTCGCGCTGAGTCGTTTTGGGAGACGGGTCCGGGAAGCCGACAAACGAGGGCGGCCGAGACACGAGCCCGGCAATTTTTTTGTAAAATCGCCCAAATCGACCAAACGTATGGGATTTTGGGAAGTTCTAAGAAATGGGCCAAACTTCAAAGGCCCTTTTCTTAGAAATTCCCGAATCCAGTTTCCGATTTCGATGACTTTCGACCCTACTGATCTATGACGATGTTTTAGGCAAGCAGAAGCAGCAGTTCCATAGCCACGAGAGCCCTGCACTCGACATCGACTGGGTCTCGGAAGATACTTTCGCTTCTTGCTCCAGAGATGCTAAAATCCACGTGTGCCAACTGGGATCGGGGGCGCCGTTGCGTACCTATCGCGTATGTGTAGCGCCGGCTGATCCCTTGCATTCCATTTCTAGCAACACACGAGTGAGGTGAATGCTGTCCGTTATCACCAATTGTCCAATCGACTGGCCAGTTGCTCGGATGATAGAACTATTAAGGTACGTTTTTGATGTCGCTCATCCGCTTTCTTTGTAGATTTGGTCGCTGGACGCCGACGAAGCGATCCACAGCTTTGACAAACACACACGCGAAATATACACGATTCGCTGGTCGCCAGTCGGACACATCTTGGCCAGGTTCGCAAGCTTTTAGCTATTCGAATATATAGTTTTTTAGTGCCTCGTTTGATAAGACCGTTCGTCTATGGGAGACCGATCAAGGCCGTGAAAAAGCCCTTCTGCGTGGCCATACCGCTGTCGTATATGCCCTCGCGTTTGGGTAAGCTTTCCAGGAGTCGACTGAAGACTTCTTCTATTCAGACCCAGCGGAAATGTGATCGCCTCCGGTGGCGCTGATCGTTCCGTGATCATATGGGATTGCAAGGTGAGGGGATGCTTGACATGCAGGGTGTCCCCGGGAAAACACCCCTCTGCCATTTGGCCGTCTTCTCTCCGATCGGGCCCAAATCTTGGCCAACGGTGTCGACCCATAAAAACGATACGCAGCCGAATTTACTAAGCAAAATGTTGTAAAACAAAAAAGATATATTCCAATCAAGGTTTATTTTGTCGATTTCATTAAGATTTTGATGGATTGGGAGCTCAAAATGTTTAACAAAAATGAAGAGGGAACTTTTTCCACCCCGAGTAATTTTTTTGGTTTACGAAAATCGCGTCTAAATAGGGGCTTTTCAACACTTTTATTATTAAGAGTGGCAGAAACCGACCCGAAAATGACCATTTTTGGGAAAATTACTCAAATTCGGCATGCAAATTGCGAAAACATAGCCAAAAATAAGTACCAGTGTTTCCAAAAATCAGTTTTTTAGCGATAACTTTTTTGTTTTACAATATTTTGCTTAGAAAATTCCGCTGCATATAGTTTTTATAGGTCCCCATCACTGGTAAAAATTTGGAAACGATGCGATAGAAGACGACCAAATGGCAAGGGGGGGTTGGGACACCCTGCATATACTCAGCCATATCTGTGTTTAGTCGGCGCATCCGTTGACGATCCTCCGGGGACGTAGGGCCGATGGTGGCATTTTTGATCTCAGCATCAATCGTACGGGAGAAAAGCTGGCCGCTTGCACTGCTGATGGCGCGGTTCGTTATTAGCTGATTTTCCCTGATATTTTTGTGTAATTCAGATAATTCTCCTGGATCTGCGCTTCCTGAAGATGTGCGCCCATGATGGTACTGTTCTTCCCCTCAGTTGTTCGTGATAAAAATGACTTGAAATTGTCAGCTGACAGGCACTTAGCAGAACGCAGGCTACGAAACACGCAAAAATATATGCTGAAACTGATTACGCAATGGAAATCGCGCGCCCGGGCCGAGACCTGATGACGGCTGGGGCGCGGCGCGGAAGCGCTCAATTCGAAAGAGAAATCTCTTCAAACTGTCATCCGCCTGACAGTTAGCAGCAATCGGACTACAAACTACAAAAAATATAGGCAGACACTGATTGGGCAATGGAAAGAGGTAACGTAGAGACGACTGTCTGATGGCGCCCCTGCCGCGCGCAAGCGCTAAAAGTTTTTTGCAAAACCTATGGAAATTGTAGCTGCCAGGCAGTTAACAGAAGCCAGGCTACAAACTACAAAAAAATCGACGCAAACCACGAGAAAATCAAATTCCGCGATGAAATTCGCGATTCAACACCCCAGGCTTCAGCGCGGCGCGAAAGCGCCAAATCTCGGCAAAAGCCGTTCAGAGCTGTTAACCGCCAGACAGGTAGTTCCCATAAAACGACAAATGTGTGAAAGGTGCGTTAAAGGGCGCGCGGTGTGGGTGGTAGTGTTTGTGGTGGTGGCGGTGGTGGTGGCCGAGAGGTGGGGGGTTGCCCCGGATGTCTCGACTCTCCCCTCTTCTCCCACACACTCTCACCCACTCCCTCTTCTGCCAGATAAGACATAGACACGGACAGACAGACCAACAGACAGACAGACAGACACGGGGGGAAGGGGCCATCGATCGCGGCGTCTCCCACCACGGCCATGTCTGCCACCCATTCCACGGCTGTGTCTAGGTCTAGGGGCAAGAGGAGGGGGTATGAACCCGATAAAATCCTGAACTGGATACCAGTTTAGCGATTACTGCTGCGGACTGGCCGACGACAACTAACAGAGTCCATTTGGGAGCTTTTGAATTGAAAAAATAGGCGTTTTTCCGGTTTTGTAGGATGTTGTCCATCGGATTGGCGACATTGAACTGTCGTAATCGATTAGAATTGTTTACTGTGTGGTAGTTTAACGGTTTTGGGGTGAACTGGCTGATGGCAACTAGCAGAAAGCTTTTGGGAGGGGTTTGAGGTACGATTTCTCTTGGCTGTATGTCTATCTGTCTATCTCTCTCTCTCTCTCTCTCTCTCTCTCTCTCTTCAAGAACTAATACGCAATAGAATCTTTATCGTAGTCATCAGAAGCGTCAAACACAAACTACGAAGTACAAAATTCACAAAATCTCTCGAATCTGGGGAGGGAAATGGCGAGACTACGGTAGGCTACCAAAGATGACGGTAAATTCAGGCAATATTGGCATCAAAATTGGCAAAAAAATCGTCGGATTCCGCGCGGCACCTAATGACGTTTTCAGGTGTTGTTAGGAGCCTTGCGGAACGCCCGGTTGGTTAATGGGCAGGAAAGCCATTCTGCCTTGCCTTGCCGGTCCCTTTAAAAGCGCAAAAATCGATAGGCGCCTCGCGGAATCGGTTACGCCATAAAAATCAGGGCAAAAAGCACGAAATTGGCGAAAATTACCAGAAAAAATCACAATTGAACAAATTCCGGAAAATTGGTTTCGCGATGAAAGTTGTTGGCACTATAAGATGGAGCATTTGGAGGAGTATTTCGGGAAATAGCACGCCCTCTCCCTACCGTACACGAAGAATGAGCCCTTCTCGGCGCCGATACTGTAGAATACCTCGGCCCATGGAATGGCCAGAATCCAGTGACGCTGCTGCAAATACCATCGCGTAATCGGTTTTTAAAGGGGTTTGCTAGTCTTTTTTGTGTTGTCATTTTGTTAACTGGCATCCGGGTGAGCATTTCCTAGCGTAATCGATTCCAAAATAATCTCTGCTAGCCTGCCTAGACTTCCTAATCTTCCAACTGCCTGCCAGTTCTCAACTTCCTGCCGTAATCTGTTTTTAAATAGTTTTGCTAGCCCATTTTTCGTCTCATATTGCTAACTGGCATCCGGGTAAGCATTTCCTAGCATAATGGAACCCTGACTGTTCTCTGCTAGCCTGCCTAGACGTTCTAATTTACTATCTGCCTGCCAGTCTGCAATTTGATGTCGTAATCGAATCCCCCCAGACAGTCGCTGCTAGCCTGCTTTTCATTGCAACTCGCCCAGCTGACAGCCAGATCACCTTTAGATGCCGTAACCGGTTCCCGAAATGATCTCTGCTAGTCTGCATGGCCGCAATCCCTTAGCTGCCAGCCAGCCGGAAATATCCGAGCGGAATCGAATCCTCAAATGGTCTCTGCTAGCCTGTCTGGCCGAAATCTCTTAGCTGTCTGCCAATAGGCATTTTCACGACGTAATCGATTCCCCAGATGACCCCGCTAATCCCCCTCAACCCACCTGTATCACCCTCGATTTCCCCAAGCATTTCTGCAAATGATCGGCACAAATGGCGCGACTCGCGTCGTTGATCGCCTTCGTCGGGTGCGACGTGATCGGGATCACCTGGAATTTAGATATCAAAGCGACTCTGCTAGCATGCCCAGTTCTCTGTCGATTTTTTGACAAACGCCCGCCATTTAAGCAGAGTTTTGAATGAAAATGGTCTCTGCTAGATTGCCCAAAGTTTTCATCGGATTTTGGACAAGCTGCCAGCCAATTAATCGATTTTTCAATTCCCAAACGGTCTTTGCGAGCCTGCCAAGCTTATGGCGGGATTCGCAGACAAACCGGCGGCCAGAAAAGCGAATTTGGAATGAAAATGGACTCTGCTAGCTTTCCCGATCATTTTAAAGAAATTTTCAGACAAACTGTCAGCCATATAAGTGGATTTTTACTGCAAATGCTCTCTGCTCGCTTGCCCAAAATTTTTACCGGATTTTTGGGCAAACTTGCGGCCATTTAAGTGGATTTTTGAACAGAAATGGTCTTTGCTAGCCTGCCCCCCATTTCCCACTGACTTACATACGGCTTCTCCTCCCCAAATATCTCGATTCCATTGACCGACATCAGGAATTTCTCGGGAATCGGCGCCTCCGTGAAAAATTCTGACGTCTCCGTTTTGCTGAACCAATTTTTGAATGATTTTTGCTCAAAATCAACTTACAAAAACACTTTCATTTTCGTATACGACCGCACGGCGCCGCTGCCCCCACATTTCGAGCACACCTAAAATTGTTTAAACTGTTTTAAAGGGGCTGGCAAGTCAAAAACCGGCCAACTGGCTGGCAGAGGTTTTTTGGGAAGCCATGAAAAGTTTTTCGAGGTATCTCTGCTAGCTTTTCCGGGCCCTATGGCCGTCGATGTGGAGCTTTGGCTGATTTTGGGTTCAAAACACCTTAAGATCGAAGAATTAGCATACCTTTTTGCCGGTACCCTTGCATTGGCCACACTGGCTGACACCGCGGCCATGACACATATAGCACAGATCATGGGTTCCTGCAATTTGCATATCTCTCTCTCTATCTCTCTGTCTCTCTCTGTGTCTCTCTCACTCTCTCTCCTCACTCTCTCCCTCTATCTCTCTCGCTCGCCCCCTCTCACTCTCTCTCTCTCTCTGTCTCACTCTCCCACTCTCTCCCTCGCTCTCTCTCCCTCTCTCTCGCTCCCTGTTTCTCTCTCACTGTCTCTGTCTCTCTCACTCTCCCGCACTCTCTCACTCTCTCGCTCTCTCTTGCTGTCTCTCACTGTCTCTCTCGCTCTCTCTCTCATTCTTTCACTCACTCTCTCTCCCTCTCCCCCCTCTCTCACTCTCTCGCTCTCTCTCTCGCTCTCTCTCTCTCTCTCTCTCTCTTTCACCCTCACCTATTCCAGGAGGTGGTACTCCAGTCTTGCTCATAAAATGCATAGGTGTCCCGAGACCGTATGCATTCCCAGCTGGCCCTGCTCTCATCGCCGTCCCAGCTGAGGAATACCCACGAGAGGTGTCCGCCTAGAATTATAATCAAATTGTCTCTGCTGGCTTGCCCCAAAAATCGCTAGGTAAGACCGATTACGTTATGAATATACGGATCCCAGCTCGCGAAAATGTGTGAAAAGACCTAGCTGGCAGTAATTTCAACTAATTCCGACGTCAAACTACAACCCCCTATATGGACAATCGATTACGCTTTGTAAATAGGTAAGCACAACCGGTTACGCTATGAAAATCGTGATCGAAATGCGCGAAATCGAGCCCAATTATTTCGCTGGTAGGCAGTTAAGCCAACGCGCTCTGCAAACTACAACAAAAACGATAGTGCTAATCGATTACGCCATCGTAATCGATAACCCCAACCGGTTACGCCAGGAAAATGCCCGGAGAGCCTCGAAAACCAACGTGTGGAAATGTGGCGATCATTGGATGTGTGTAGACGGCTGGATGGGCGACACCCGACTTCATGCCCGTGCCTCTAAAAGTCGGCTTGTTTTCGAAGGTTTATATGGCGTAATTGGATCGCTAGAAGCCGGAAAATTGACGGAAAAATGACGGAAACAACGATTTTTTGCGTTCCGTGCGACACCTCTAGACACCTGTATACGTCGATAGGTGTCGCGCGGAATCGATTACTACGTGTTAAGAAACGGAAAAGATTATCGATCGATTCTGTGCCGCGACACGCAACGCGCACGCGCCGCTGGGAGGCGCCGTAACCGAGTACGCAACGGAAAAATTGGGCGTGCGGCGTTGCGCGGCGTATCGAACGGCAAAGGCAGCCGAAAAGCCGAAGAACTGACCTGCAAAATTGGCATTTATCCGTTCCATTGCCTCTGCAGTGAAAACAATGCATGGTTCCTTCAGAGGAACACGTCTGACAGTCCGTGATACGGGACGTACCCGGCATTTCCGTCATGGACACCTGAAAACAGAGGGATAGGGAGAGACAGGGAGAAAGTGAGAGAGCGAGAGAGAGACAGCCAGAGAGAGAGAAAGAGAGAGAAAGAAAGAGAGAGAGAGAGAGAGAGAGAGAGAGAGAGGGAGAGAGAGACAGAGAGAGACAGAGAGAAAGAGAGGGAGAGAGCGAGAGAGAGGGAGAGAGCGAGAGAGAGGGAGAGAGCGAGAGAGACAAAGAGAGGATAGAGAGAGAGCGAGAGAGAGAGAGACAGGAAGAGATATTCAAGGCTGCTCACCTGATCAGAAAACATAGCAGCCGGATGCACCTCGAAATCCCACGGATTCAAATTGTTGTTGGAGAGGAAGCCCTAAAAATTATTAGATTTCGTAATTGATTACGAGTCGTAATTGTGTATTTTATAGCGTAATCGAACGGCCTTTCGCGTAATCGGACGATACCTGGCTTAACTAGTAATTACCTAGCGTAATCGATTCCCGGAAAACGGAAGTTTACATACCATAATCTATTAAACGTTTTTCTAATTACATCGTGTAAACCGATGCCAACTTATACATTTTTTGGACTAACCAGCGTGTCGGGCTCGCTGCGAAAGGCGCTGCCGGGTAGACAGGCCTCTGTTGTCTCGACTGTCGACCGAGCATCAGTGTAGGACTCAAGGCGATACTGGAAATGGGAAATTCCGCAAGAATCCCTGCTAGCCGGCCATCCAAACCACTGAGAGGACTAGAAAATCCCTAGCCATGCCTTGCCGGCTCCTTTAAACAGCCAAAACCGATGGATTTGTAGACTTCTGACCGACCGTCTCTCTCTCACTCTCTCTCTCTCTCTCTCTCTCTCTCTCTCTCTCTCCCTCCCTCTCTCTCATTCTCTCTCGCTCCCTACCTCTCCCTCACACACTCTCTCTCACTCCCTCCCTCTCTCTCTCTCTCCCTCTCTCGTCATCCTTTTCTCCCGCCCGCTCTCTCTCTCTCTCTCTCTCTCTCTCTCTCTCTCTCTCACCTTCAGACATGTCCCTTGTTCGAGCCGCTCAATCTGCAGTCGTTTCAGCTTCTTCTGCGAGAAAATTCTGAAATGTTTCAAATTGCAGCTGACTGCCACTAAGATTTCCCCAAAGACTCTCTGCTAGCTTGCCCCATTTTTGTAGGTTCTCCAATGGGCTGGCTGCCAGTTGAAAGGTTCCGCAAAAAAATCTCTACCGTTCTGCACATTTTTTCGATTTTGCTCGGTTTAAAGGTGCGCGGACACCCCTAAATCTACCGTACCTGGTCCTCTTCGCCTCGTGATTCAGTGCTTCTCGCACTTCACCCTCTGTTATTGGGAACACATCATCAAAGGCGCGCTTCCCGGGAGTCGTCGCTAAAAAATCGAGTTTAGAGGGACACTGACAGGTAGACAATCCCAAAGAATCACCGCTAGCCTGCCCTCCACGCTTACGCAAAATTCCTAAATGGTCTTTGCTAGCTAGCTACTATATAAAACGTTCTATGTATCATTTAAAGGGACGGTGACTGGGACAAAAGTCGAAATTTCCGTAAGAAATCTCTGCTAGCTTTCCCCCCCCCGTTATTCACCAAGTGCCTTGCGATGTGATTCGATATCTTCCTGTGGTGGTTGTATAGGGGTGAAGCTTTCCGAGACTTTGGCCATCGCCCGAGTCATCTTTCCGCTGAAAAACAGAACATAAAACTGCCTTTAGAAAACTGTAGTTGCATTTAGTGCAGAAATAAGTTTTGTATTTGCCCGAATTTTCATCAAGTAATCCATTAGAATTGTTAGCTGGCAGCCAGAAAACGTAAAAACCGGATTGGCATAGACGAAATTTTTAGCTACGCTGAAAACGCGATTTTGGCAGCAATTTGGCAGTTTGTATTTTGTATTTTTCGGAAAAATAGGGTAGCGTAATCGATTATAATTATGTACAAACTCTCCTGTCAGAAAACGTAAAACCCGGACCAAAATAGTCAAAAATTTTCTTTTTACACGAGAAACTAGCAAATTTTGAGGTTTGTAGTCTGTAGTCTCCCGTTTTCGTCGTATTGAGGTAACGTCATCGATTAAAACTACAGACTGACGGCCGGAAAGCCCGAAAAGAGCAATAGAATATTCGCGAGAGCGTGGGATTTTGCGAAAAAAAACGCTAATTTTGATGGGAATTTGCGGTTTGTAGCTTGTAGTCTATCGTTGGAGCAACATTATGATAGCGTAATCGATTAAACCTATAAACTGTCTGCCCGAAAACGTAAACCCCCGATCGAAATAGGCAAAGGGTATCTTTTTACACGAAAAGCTAGCAATTTTGGTAGTTTGTAGCTTGTAGTTTATCGTTTTTAGACATATTAAAGTGTCGTTACCGGTTATACCAGTTAAATGACATTTAAAAAAACGAGAAAAAAAATCGGTCTGAAGTCGACAAAATTTTTATTTTTAAAGGAAACCCGAAATTTCGGCAGCAATTTTGCCGTTTGTAGTTTGTAGTCTATCATTTATGCATGATTAAGGTAGCGGAATCGATTATACTTATAAACTGTCTGCCAGAAAACATAAACCCCCCATCGAAATAGGCAAAGGGTATCTTTTTACACGAAAAGCTAGCAATTTTGGCTGTTGGTAGTTTGTAGTTTATCGACTGAACAGTATTATGACGAAGTAATCGATTAAAACTACAAATTGCCGGCCAGAAACCCCGAAAACAAGGCCGAATGGCCGCCGCGTGAGCCGGAGGGGCTGAGGTTTGGGGCCTTAGGGCCATGAGGGGGGAGGGCCCACGATGTGACCCAAGGGGGGAGAGAGAGAGAGAGAGTGGGGACGGGGAGAGGGGGCAGAGAAAGGGGGGAGAGAGAGGGAGAGAGACGCAGAGAAAGTGAGGGTGAGCCCCAGCTGGCAGTAGACAGCGAGAGGATGATACGATTCATCAACGGGCAGCAACGCGTACACCGCTATTTTCAGTCTTTTTCTCTCCCCTTTGTCTCTATCTCTCTCTCTCTCTCTCTCTTGACACAAATTGCCGCCCGACGATGCCCTTTAGCCCTCCGCGACGTGAAAAGCCATTTTCGAGTAGCCGGCCTGATCGGAGAAAAAGCCGAAAATAGAATTCCCCTTGACCTTTCCAGCTGAGTCTCTGCTCGTTTGCCCTCAGATCTTCTGAAGCGCTAAACTGTCGGCCAGTGAAGCGATTCCGCAAAGAATCCCAGCTAGCCTGCCGCTCGGGTCGTTTGTAGCCGCGCACTGAAACCCAATCCTTGGCTCCTGGTTTTGACTCAATTTCTCAAAGGATCTCTGCTCGTTTGCGCTCAGACGTTCAGCGACGATAAAGTGTCTGTCAGTGGAGCGATTCGGCAAAAATCTCTGCTAGCCTGCCCGTCGTGTTGTTTGTAGCCGCCAGAACCACAACTCTTGGCTTCCGTTTTGGAGTCAATTTCCCAAATGATCTCTGCCCGTGTGCCTCCAGATTTTCTGTAACAATAAATTGACTGCCAGAGAAGCGATTCCGCAAAGAATCCCAGCCAGCCTGCCCCTCGTGTAGTTTGTAGCCGCCAGAACCACAACTCTTGGTTTCTGTTTTTGAGTCCATCTCCGCAAAGGATCTCTGCCCGTTTGCCTCCCGAAACAATAAACTGACAGCCAGAGAAGGGATTCCACCAAGAATTTCTGCTAGCCTGCCCCTTATTTCGTAACCTGGCCGTCACTCACCGCCCTTTTCCGGTTGGCCGGGTTGTGTGGGTGGTGAAAGCATAGGAGCAGGGTCTAGAGGCCTCCAGCCATTCAGGGAATGCCCTCCCACTATTCAAAAAAAGAAAACCCATCTAGCTCTGAAAAGAACCATTCCAAAAGCGACGCCCCCCCCCCGCTAATTAACCTACCGTAACCGGCTCGAGAACTCGCAGCTTGTAGTTTGTAGTGTTTGTAGTGTTGTTTGTAGTGCCCCATTTACAGCGCGTAACCGGTTGGTTGGCCCCGCAAAAGTCACACCAGAAAACCGAAAAATCAACGTTTTTTTTGTGTTTTAGCCCGTACTTTGTTGCCCTCGAAGGTATTTCGTCGCGTAATCGATTAGCAAGGTAAACTGGCAGCCAGAAAGGGCAAAAAACCGATCGGCTGGCTGCCGTCTGTCAGCCAAAATGCCGGAAATCCGCTGTCACCACACCTTTAACCGCCTTTTTAGGCCATTCGATTATGCCATGTGATTCCGGGCGTGACTATAAATGCTTTATATATCGAAAAAAGGAGCGCTGAAAGTCATCGTCAATTTTTGGACACATTTCATGGAGGTGTACGGTAAAGAGAGAGAGAGCGAGAGAGAGAGAGAGAGAGAGAGAGAGACGGGTAGACAATCAGACAATATAGCAAACATCGAGCGAAATGGCGCTTTTAAAGGAACTTGGAAGTCGGGGAAATCTTAAAGAATCTCTGCTAGCCAGCCTACCCCCGACTTCCTGGTTTCTTTAAAGGGACTGGCAAGGTATGTATTATGGATTTGCTATGGATTTGCGACTGTGCCGCGGCGACACGCGACGCGACCGCGCAGCCCTTCCATTGCGTAATCGATTACGACAGGTTTAACTTGGACGACAGGGCATGCGCGTTGCGTGCCGCGGCGCCACAAAATCCATAGCCATGCCTTGCCGGTCCCTTTAAAATCACAAAAATTGGCGGAAATATTTGGCAATGGGGTCGGGGTTTTTTGACAATATTCAGGCTTTTTGGCGGGAGAGAGAGAGAGAGAGAGAGAGAGAGAGAGAGAAAGAGAGAGAGAGAGCGTACGGACGGATTGTCACGGAATTTGTCGTGTGTTCTTTTTGGCGGTGTCGGGATGTCGTGGAAAATTCAGAATACAAAAATCACGAAAAGAATAAACAAATAAAAACACAGCAGCCGGGGCTTTAAATCGATTTCAAGGGCCGCTGAAGGGGCGTGGCTTCGAAATTTGCATATTTTCCAGGTTACAAATTTGTCAAAATTTAAGTTAAAATTACGCAAAAAATTTTTAAAATTTACAAATTCAAATTTTCTGTTTTTTATTAATTTAAAAGTTGCTTATACTGTGCCTATGTTTATCCTGGATAAAAACACGCCAAAAATTGGGGTGAAAAATGTTCTAAGCATTTTCGGAAAAATTTTGGAATGTAAAAATGTACGCAAAAATTCGGAAAAAGCGAATTTCCTCAACGGTCTCTGCTAGTTGACGACTTAATTCCCGTTAGGCCACGCCCCCTTCAGCCCCCTCTTTAATAGAAAAGTCCCTTGTCGTTTTTCTTGGAAGATGCGGGAGGGGTGAGACAGTGGAGGGGACCCTGTTCGGCACTGCAGGACGGGCTGTGAGGTGGAGGGGCTGATTTCTGAAAAAATGTCGATTGGAAACGCTTAACTGACAGGCAAGCTAGCAGAAACAATTTACAGGAAAGTTCCATTGTCTTTAAAACCCGAAGTTTTCAAAGAAATTCGAAAAATCTCGCAATTTGAGATTTCGTTAAACTTTAAGCGCCGTCTTCCGCAAAAATGTGGACTGGAAACGCTTAACTGACAGACAGGCTAGCAGAGACACTTTGTGGAAATGTTCCAATCCCTTTAAACCCTATTACTACCCGATTTTCTTAGAAAATCGAAAAAGACGCAAATTCTCGAAGAACAAAGTTTCCTAAGCCGGTTTCTGGAGCATTTGCATTACAAAACGCTTAACTGACAGGCAGGCTAGCAGAGACAATCTGTGGAAATGTTCCAACTCACCTGGATGCCGAGCAAATGTTCATAATCGTTCAGCTGGCCCATAAAGTGGAAATTGGGGGCAATGCTGGCATTCTGGCCCAGCACGACGTCGTACGCCTCTTCCAGGGTGCATCTGGAAATGGCGGACAATTCTTTAGGAAATGGAGGCAGGCTAGCAGGGATTGTTTGGGGGGAAAAACGGACTTCCTGGTGAACATCAAGAATGCGAGACAGATGGTGACAGAACGAGAGATGCCCGCCAGACAATGCACCAGACATCCCTCACGCTCCCGCTCGGCCTCCTCGATGAACGAGATCGCTTCTGGAAAATCGGGTCTTAGTCGGTCTCTGGTCCACGGCCTCGCGCGTTGATTCCTGGCAAATAGCCAGATGCGGCTACAACGCGACCGCGCCGCATGATTTTTTGCTCCTGCTTGGACGCGAAAACGCTTGAATTTCAAAATTCTGTCGCTATTTCTAGGATCCTCATCGAATTTTGATCATTCTAGACGTTTTAATGATGAAAATCGACCAGAGAATGGCCGAGATCGAGAGATTGGGGTGCCTTACAACGCATTACGACATATAATCCCCGCACACTCAAATTGTCATTTTTGCCCCCCCAGAAAATTTTAGAATAGAAAATGTCATCTACACGGTACCTGGGAAGAATTGGATCAAATTGAACGAGGCGTTGTCATCGACCGGAATGCGGAGATAGCGGAAACGTTTGTCGTCCTCGAAGAAGTTCTCCAGATTCGACGTCACGTTCACCACGTAGTGGATACCGTAGCTGAACAAAATGAACGTAGTTTAAGCACGTAGAAGGAAAAAACTGGTCGGAAAATCGTCAAAAAAAAAATGCTTTACCTGTCGAGGAGCTCCTTGTTGCCGGCCGTCTTCGCGTCGCCCAGATAGAGGTAGGGGAGGATTTGAACTGGGAATATCTGAAAAAGAGGTCTCTCTCTCTCTCTTTATGCCTCGCGCTCTCTCCCTCTCCCTCCCTCTCTCTCTATTCATCCCTCTCTCCCTCTCTCTTTCTCTTTCTCTTTCTCTCTCTCTCTCTCTTTATGTCTCTCGCTCTCTCTCTATTTCTCTCTCTCCCTCTCTCTCTTTATGTGTCTCGCTCTCATTGTCTCTCTCTCTCTCTCTCTCTCTCTCTCTCTCTCTCTCTCTCTCTCTCTTTATGTCTCTCTCTCGTTCTCGTTGTCTCTCTCTCTTTCTTTCTGTCGCTCTCTCTCACTCTCTCGTTCGCGTTCTCTCTCTCGCTCACTCCATCTCTCACTCTCGCTCCGCGACACGCGACGCACACGCTTCGCCCTTTCCCGTAATTCTCGTCAAGAATCTCTGCTAGTTGACTTCCAGCGAGGCCATTCCGCAAAGAACCCCCGCTAGCCTGCCCACCTGTCTCTTATCATTCGTCTTCGATCGTGGCGTAATATTGATACTGGATCCGGCGAGGTCCTTGATTCGGAGCGCGCTGAGAAATTCGGATGTAAAGAAAAGAACGCCTGCACTCACTCGAATCTCAAAAAAGACAAATTCATGGGTTCATCAGCCGGTGTCTTCACTCCATCAATTCCCTCAGTTGGTGTTGGTTGTGGGGCACGGAGTGATGGATGGCGCGAGAGGGTCATCTCCACGTCTTCTGAAAACACCCAATTCAACGGAAGCCACGATTCGTTTCATCGCGTAAACCATTACCGGGTGTCCCAAAAAAACCCCCACTCGGCATTTGGCCGTCTTCTATCGGATCGGGGCCAAATTTCTACCAGTGATGGGGACCCGTAAAAACTATGCGCAGCCAAATTTTCTAAGCAAAATATTGTAACACAAAAAAGTTATCGCTAAAAATGGAATTTTGGTAAATGCTGGTACCCATTTTTGGCTATGTTTTCGCAATTAGCATGCCGATTTTGAGGAATTTCCCCCCAAAAATGGTCATTTTCGGGCGGGTTTCTGTCAATTTTGAGAATAAAAAGTGATGGAAAATCTCAATTTAGACGTAATTTTCGTAATTCAAAAACCTTCCCCGGGTCGAAAATATGCCCTTTCGATTTTTGCAAAACATTTCGAGGGCCAAATCCATCAAAATCTGAGTAAAATCGGCAAAATAAACCGTAATTTTGATAGAACCTTTTGTTTTACTATATTTTGCTAAGAAAATCTGCTTTAATGCTTTAATGCGCCGTGAAAGTCGCGATCTGGAAAAACCGCGCAGCGGCGCGTGGGCGTTGCGCAGGGCGGGGCGGCAAAAAGTGCGCCGCAACCGGGCCCTTTTTGAAGGTGGCAAGCCGATTAACCTCGCGTAAGCGGATGCACCTGCCTTACGTGAGATAACGGACCCAAATTTCCCAAAAAAACCGCGAAGCGGCGCGTGGGCGTTGCGTTCCGCGTTCTTAAAGGAAGCGTGCCAGCTGGCCAAATCGATTAACCCGGCATAACCGGCTAAACAGCATCTGGTGTCGTAATTTCCAAAAAAAAACCTCGAAGCGGCGCGTGCGCGTCGCGTGTCGCCGTTCCCCCTGGCTACCACCAGAATAACCTGTCGTAACCGGATACCCCCCCGTTAACTCACCAGTAAAGAGAAATATCTGGCGATTGGCCTGCTGCTTGGTGAGGGCGTTGATGAGGATGGCCGTCTGAGATCCGGCCGGGGCTTCCGGTTCAGGAATGACAACAATCTGAGTCTCTCCCTCGCCATCTTCACAGAGCTTTGGCGAGAGATTGGAAAGGGGAAGACGACCACTTTGGAGACGGCGGAGGAGCACGTGGGGGAGTTGCACTCTGGATAATGGAGGTTGGCTTGGCTTAGGCTTGGCTTAGCTTTAAGCTTGGCTTAGGCTTGGCTTAGGCTTGGCTTAGGATTGGCTTAGGCTTGGCTTAGGCTTGGCTTAGGCTTGGCTTAGGCTTGGCTTAGGCTTGGCTTAGGCTTGGCTTAGGCTTGGCTTAGGCTTGGCTTAGGCTTGGCTTAGGCTTGGCTTAGGCTTGGCTTAGGCTTGGCTTAGGCTTGGCTTAGGCTTGGCTTAGGCTTGGCTTAGGCTTGGCTTAGGCTTGGCGTAGGCTTGGCTTAGGCTTGGCTTAGGCTTGGCTTAGGCTTGGCTTAGGCTTGGCTTAGGCTTGGCTTAGGCTTGGCTTAGGCTTGGCTTAGGCTTGGCTTAGGCTTGGCTTAGGCTTGGCTTAGGCTTGGCTTAGGCTTGGCTTAGGCTTAGGCTTAGCTTTAAGTTTGGCTTAGGCTTCGCTTAGGCTTAGGCTTAGGCTTAAACTTGGCGTAGGCTTGCCTTCGCTTCGGTTTAGTCTTAGACCGGAGAAAGAGGCCTACTTGGTGGCATTCTTCAGGGAAGAACCCTGCTGGCGACAATCCAAAATACACACATCCTAAATCGAGATACCATTGAGGTTTCTGAATGCCGTACCTTCTCCTGCTTATCGGCTATCTCGCTCAGGCCATTCCCATCAATTGGCTGGATGGAGAGCTGAGAAGAATCCTGCAAAGGGTCTCTGCTAGCCTGCCCCCATTTCCTAAAGAATCTCTGCTAGCCTGCCCCCCATTTCCTCAAAGAATCTCTGCTAGCCTGCCCCCATTTCCTAAAGAATCTCTGCTAGCCTGCCCCCCATTTCCTAAAGAATCTCTGCTAGTCTGCCCCCCATTTCCTCAAAGAATCTCTGCTAGCCTGCCCTCCCTAACTGACCTGTAATGATGTGGATGCTTCTTCTGTCATAGATACCATCCAATTGTTCTATATCTATTGGATATTGGGGTGTGACCGGGGGTGTTGTGTGAGGATAGAGAGTGAGAGAGTGGGTGGCTAGTAGAGACCCCCAGACACCCCTCCCCCCTCCACCCCATTCCTATCCACACACACCCCGAAAAGACCCCCCACACCACTGCCGTTTCGCCCCCCAAAAATGCCTTCAATCACGTAATTTATAGAGTTTTTTGCGCCCTATCGATCCGCACTATTGTTATAGATAAATTCCCCGAAGTTTTTGACCTTTCGCCGGTTTTTTTAGTGATTTTGCGGTTCTCCGGCCGAATTTTTCGATTTCAATCAATTTTTTGGGTTTTAAAAGGTATGAATCGATGCCGTTTTTTACGCGCTATCGATTGTCGCTGTCGAAACCCCAAAATTTCGGATCCTAAATGCCGAAAATCCGGAATTTACGGGCCTAGCAACGACTTTTTTTAATTTACCCACTTATCTCCCTGAATTTTGCGATTTAAATAAATTTTTTTGGGTTTAAAGTATGAATAGTTGCAGTTTTTTAAGCGCTATCGATTAGCGCTGTCGAAAACCCAAAATTTCGGATCCTAAATGCCGAAAATCCGGAATTTACTGGCCTAGCAACGCCTTTTTTACCTTTTCCATTTCTCTCCCTGAATTTTGCGATTTAATTAAAATTTTTGGGTGTAAAAAGTATGAATAGAGGCAGTTTTTTACGCGCTAGTTTTTGGCGCTGTGGAAAACCCAAAATTTTGGAAGCTAAATGCCGAAAATCCGGAATTTACTGGCCTAACAACGCTTTTTTTCGGATCTCCGCCCGAATTTTGCGACTTAAATAAAATTTTTTTGTGTTTTAAATCCATCATTAGATGCAGTTTTTAACGGCCTATCGTCTGGAACTATCGAATTTGGCCGAATCTTAATAAAGCAGATCCTAAATTCAATTTTCCCCGGACCCGCCGCTCCAGCGCCGTGGATCGGCCCAACGAAACCCCGTCGATCCTGGCGCTTTTCATTGTTTTTCCGACTCGATACTATGGCTATTTTTATTGCCAGCTCAAGAGCTTCATTTTGGTATATTTTCAGGTACCTTATTTCTAACGGGGTCGAAATATAGAATTTACAGATGTTTGGGCGGCCGAAATTGGCCAATTTTCAAGCTTAAAATTATTTTAAAAAATTCCCAGCAATTTCTAGTAAAAACTAGTGCGTTATCCGGGGGGTTTCAAGCGTGCTGAGCATTTCTAGCTATTCGGCGCATTAATAGACGTTGATAGAGCCGCGATCTGACCGTTTTTCTGGGCGTTTTTCGTGTTTTCCCGTTTTTCAAGCTTAAAAAAGTCTCAAAAAATTCCCAGCAATTTCTAGTAAAAACTAGTGAGTTATCCGGGGGGTTTCAAGCGTGCTGAACATTTCTAGCTATACGGCGCATTAATAGACTCTCAGTAAGCGGAGATATGACCGGTTTCTCTGCGTTTTCGTGTTCTTCTCGTGTTTTTTATGCTAATTCCGTAAGTTCAGCAATTTTTTGTGAATTTTTCAGAAAAGATGGGCCGAAAATCGGAGGTGGCGCTGGACGAGACGATGGACACGACGGTCAATGGGGAAGCCGAGCCCGTCACCGACAAGGACGCCTACGAGGAACAGTGCGCTCTGGTCGGTGCTTGCTCGCCCCTTTACCCCCAATTATCTCGGCCTTCTGGGAGTCTATTAATGCGCATAGTAGTTGCAAATTTTCCGTTGTCCCCCCCGCTATTGCACTAGTTTTTGACCAAAAATTGCTAGCAGATTTCGAAAAATGTTTTCAGCTCAATAAAACGGCTAATATCGCCCTCGGCTTCGGCCCAGGGCTAGGGAAAACCATATTTAAAATCTGGAAATAGTTAGGTTCGGCCAAATTCTTCATTACCAATCGATAGCGCGTAAAAAACTGCAACGAGCGATATTTTTAGAACCAAAAACCTTAAACTAAACCGCAAGATTCTGGAAGAGAAATGAACAACCAAAAAAAAAGCGTTGCTAGGCCACTAAATGCGGAATTTCGGGTTTTAGGACAGGAAATTTTGGGTTTTCGACAGCGCCAGTCGATAGCGCGTAAAAAACTGCATCTAGTGATGTATTTTTAGCCCAAAAAATCCTGAAACTGAACGCGTAAAAAGCGAAAAAGATAGAGAGCGACGGAGAGCGAGAGAGAGAGAGAGAGAGAGCGAGAGAGAGAGAGCGAGAGAGAGTGAGAGAGAGAAAGAGACAGAGAGAGAGCGAGAGAGCGAGAGAAAGGGCGAAAGAGCGAGAGACAGAGAAAGAGAGCCAGAGAGAGAAAGAGAGAGAGAGACGGAGAGAGAGAGAGTGAGAGGGAAACGGACAGAGAGAGAGAGCGAGAGAGAGGGCGAAAGAGCGAGAGACAGAGAAAGAGAGAGAGAGAGAGAGAGAGAGAGAGAGAGAGAGAGAGAGAGAGAGAATTACCTATATCTTCAGGCCAACGAGATCGCATCCCCGATGGCGAACCGGAAACTGGCGAAGAAGGTGTACAAGCTGATCAAGAAGGCCTCAGGAGTGAAGACGGCCGTTCGGTTCGTTGATTTCCAACCCACTTTTGAACTTAATTTGTTCAGTTTCGGCATCGCGGACGTCTCGAAGGGGTTGAGGAAGAATGAGAAGGGCATCGTCGTGTTGGCGGGTAGGTCGGAGGAATTTGGCAGAGATTGGAGCAGGAAATTCGAGCTTCAGGGGCTGAGAATTCAAAATTCGTGTGTGCCGGGATTGAACCTACGGGTCAAAAAATGAAAGGGTCACTGCCGAGAAGTGCCAAAAACGTTATTTGATTGCGAAAAAAACAGAAAATGTTTGAGAAAAAACGAATTCTTTTTCAGGCGAAAACGAAATTTTGAGTGTGCGGGAATTACATGTCGTAATGCCTTGTAAGGCACCCAATCTCTCGATCTCTCGGCCATTCTCTGGCCAATTTTTATCATTAAAACGTCTAGAATGATCAAAATTCGATGAGGATTCCAGAAATAGCGGCAGAATTTTTAAATTCAAGCGTTTTCGCGTCGAAACAGGGGCAAAAGATCACGCGGCGCGGTCGCGTTGCGGCCGCATTGGGCTATTTCCCAGGAATCAACGCTGGGGCCAGATTTCGGGGCCCCTTTAATGGTTCTTTTCAGGCAACGTGACCCCGATCGATATCTATTCGCATATTCCGGCATTTTGCGAGGACAAGGGTGTCCCATATGTGTATACGCCATCGCGGGAGAGTCTCGGATTGGCGGCCGGCTTTCGACGATCCATCATTATTCTGTTGATCCGCCCAAATGCCGAGTACCAGGTCAGCAACCAGACCGACGAAACGACGACCCCAAAAATATCGACGAGCAATTGGGTCGGCATTTTGAAATGGCCGAAAATTCTAGCAGAAAAAGCCATTTTTTCAAAAGCCGACAGCCGAATTCCCAATGGCAAAAATGTCCAGAATCCTCTGAAATACCGACAACTAACTAATCGGGGCTTTCGAAATGCCGACACAGCCAAAAAGGCATATCACTAAATGCCGACAATTAGTTGGCGGTGAAATTTCGAGAATTCCAATGCCAAGAATGCCGACAATTTTCTGGTTATTTGCTTTAAAAAGGGGCAAAAAATGGCGACAAATGATTAGTAAGGGGCCACCGAAATGCCGACAACCAACATTCACATGGCAAAGGATGCCGACACGAAATTGATCGGAAATTTCGAAAAGCCGGCATTCCAAGGGGTAATTCGGCTCGTTGCAGGAGTTGTACGACGAGCTGTTCGAGACGTGCAACCTGCTCGTGCCCAACACCAAGGAGAACTAACTTTTTGGCGTCCAGCTCCCTGTCTCTCGCGCTCTCGCTCTCTCTCTCTCTCTCTCTCTCTCTCTCTCTCTTTCTCTCACTCTCGCTCTTTCTCTCGCTCTCGCTCTTTCTCGCTCGCTCTCTCTCTCTCTCCGCTCTCTCTCTTCCCCCTCTCTCTCTCTCTCTCTCTCTCTCCGCTCTCTCTCTCTCCACTCTCGGCCGAGCAGTAGCTGTCCATCATTTGGTTGTTGATCGTTTTTTGTTGAATTTTTTCATTGAACCCTCGTTGTTGTTGTTTTTTTTGATAAATTGATCCCACTCTAAACGATTACGCCATTAAAACCGAAAAAGCCGCAAAAATTCGGGTTCTTTCGCATTATCGGGGGGGGTCCTAGGTTTCGGCCTTTATTGAAATATAACCCCATTAAATCGAAACCCCCCCCGGTAATGCAAAAGAACCAAAAATTGTTTTGAATAATCCCAGGCTGCAAACCGGTTTATTCCAGGGGAAAAAGAGAGAGAGAGAGTGGGGGAATCGGGGCACGAAAAGTGTGACGGGAATAAATAAATAAACACAATTTAAATTTAAAAGAAATGTGTCGGGGGGCTACGGTAGGTAGCGCCGTGGGGGGAATATCGCGATAGATAAATGGAGAAATAACGAGCGCACGAGATCCATCATTAACAACAAGGACAACCACCGGAAGTGGAAGAGAGAGGTAGAAGCATCGACGGGGGCCTAGGAGCGGAACGCGATGGACTGCTTGAAGACGTCGGTGACGGCAGTCGCAATCTCGGCCGTGGAGAAGAGCTTCTCCTGCAGCTCGTCACGCATCGGGTACAGCTCGCCGTGGTGCTGCAAAAAAAAGGATACAAAACGTAGCCAGGATTTGGAAAATCACGATTCGAAAATGCGTAATTGAAAAAAGCAATTTTTCGATAAATTTTGCATTCGGAAAAGACAAAAATAATGCTAAAAATAATAATTTCAACACCGTGATTTCCGCAAAAATTACCCTACAGGGTGTCCCAAAAAAAAACCACCCCCCCTACCTAGCGGTCCGCAGTCGATTCCGATTTTTACGATTTAGGTATCTATCGAAAGCTCTCGAAAAGGCGAGAAAACAAGGAGGGTTGAATTTCTTAATTAAGCCTTTTTATTTGCTAATTTTATGTCCAAAAACCATGAAAACTGCTGATTTATGCGAGATCTGCATGCTAATTGCGAAATTCCTGATGAAAAATTCCCGGCTTTTTAGGAAAAACTGAAATATCGATAGAATCAGATTAAATCTTAGAAAACGAAACCCGCTTGTTTTCTCGCCTTTCCGAGAGCTTTCGATTGGTATAAAAATCATTCCGATCCGATCCGATTGACGGCCTCTAGAGGGGGGGGGGGGGTTTTTTTTTGGGACACCCTGTATTAGAAATATTAGTATTAGAAAAATCTGAATTTGATTTTGTATCGTGAGAATTAATTTTTTTGAACTATGAATTAGACTTAGATTTAGATGAATTTAATGAATTCATATTTTTTATTATAAATAAATTTAAATTTAGGTTCAGCTGAGTTTTTAGAATTAGATTTGAATTTAAGCTATCAAAATTGGACAAAAAAATTAAAAACCAAAAAAATAATTTAAAAAAATTTTAAATTAAGGTTTAAAATTGCGAAAACCCCGCGGACCTGGAGGAAAATCTCCCGGAATCGTCCCATCATCCATTGGAACCATTCGTCGCGATATTCTTTCCCTTCACGCTCGCTCAACACCACGTGTTCCGTCAGGAAGATCGAGAATTTCTGAACGAAGGCATTTTATCGTGTTTTTTTAGTAGTTTCTGATGCTATTTCCAAAAATTTATATAATTAATATAAATCATATATGAATGATTTTATAAAAATGGTCTTTAAACCTTCGAAAATACCAAAATTTCGGCCTTTTTTGCCCGTTTTTGCACCCATTTTTTCAAGGCAAAAAGATTTATTTATGGCTCTTTCACGTCTTAAAAAGGGTGTAAACAGCCATCAAAATTTCGCTATCGGGGCGTACAGTATACTGGGCAAAAATCTGCCAAATCTGCCGACAAAAACACCCCGAAGATGGGTTTTTAAAACGCAGTACAAGCATCATTGCGTGCCCACGAATTTCATGGCGTAATCGGCGCGCAAAAAAGGTCGAATGCCCCTGGCGAAAAAAAACGGCAATAAATAAACGCACGTGGAGGACGGCGAGGAAGAGATTCTTCTCGAAATCGACGAGATTGTCGAGATGCTGTTGCTTGGTGTGGAGATTATCATCGCCATCATCCATTTCGTCCTCTTTCTCATTCACCATTCCATCATCATCGGTTGTTGCGGAGAGTGGAGGGGGTTTCTTCTGCTTCTTTTGGTCGACCTCCTTCCGCAGATTCGCCACATGTTTCGACAGCTTGATCAGGGCACTGTTCAGCACCTCCCAGGGCCATTGGCTGGAAATAGATAGTTAGAGCCAGAGAGGAGAGAGAGAGCGAGAGAGAGAGAGAGAGAGAGAGAGAGAGAGAGGGGGAGAAAAAGAGAAAGAGAGCAAGAGAGAAAGAGAGAGGGAGACAGAGAGGGAGACAGAGAGGGAGATAGAGAGACAGAGAGAGAGAGAGAGAGAGAGAGAGAGAGAGAGAAAGCGAGCGAGAAGGAGAGAGAGAGACGTACCGATGATGTTCAGCCCTCATCTCATCGCTAAAGATCCACTCGACCAGCACGCCACAGTCGATCACTTGCGCCTTCAGGTATTTGTCGATCATCACCACGATATACTGCAAAAAAATTAAATTAAATTCGCTATGCCGGTTCTTTCGCATTATGTTTTTTTGTATTGTTAATTTTGTTTTTTTAATACAGTTTTCTGGTTGAAATATAGTTATGGATTACTGTAAACACTAATAAAATACCCCCTATTACGCTACATAGACATAGACATAGAATCATGCAAAAATGCCGCCCCTCCCCCCACCGACAAGGCGAAAGAACCGGTGGACCTAATTGAAGGTTGGTGATCGGGAAAACGCGGTTAAAAGGCGGCTATACCTGAATGTTGTTCTTCCACGAGGTGTACAACGTGCGCAACAGCACCCCCTGCATATCTTCGCTCGAATCGCACACCTCCTTCAGCACCTTGTGATATCTGCAAACGAATACTTATCAGAATCCCGAACATAAGAAACTCCAATTTTCAGAATCTCGAATTTTGAGAATCTCGAAATATGCCGAGGCTGGATCAGGGCGTAGGCGTGCAATAGCTGGAGCCTTTAATGCTGATTTAGACCATCAAAATTTCGAGATTCTGAAAATTCGAGCCCTCGCGTACCTAGCTGGCCACAGTTTAGTCCTATTTTTACGATTTAGGTATCAATCGAAAGAAAACAAACAAACAAACACGCACTTCATCAGGGCCGAGAAGTTGTGGGAGAAGGATTTCGACGCCAGCTTCAGCATCATCGACAGGAACGTGGCGAACGCGTCGCCGTCGAAACCGTCGCCGCCCTCTAGAAAAGGATGGAAGTGGAAATTTTGCGGAAAAGGGGGGATACCTTTGGTGAGTTCGGGGAGGAAACGGTCGGCGGGTGCCTTTTCCTGGAACAATTGGCCAAACTGCTTGCCCCGCTCGTATTCCGGATGGTCGGCTGAAAATAGACGATTAACATCAGTCAGCGGCCTCTCGGGTTCTGTCGCATTATCGGGGGGGCTAACTTTTCCTGATTTACCTACATAAGGCCGATTTTGCATATTTTGGGTTTTACATCAAAACTACAAACCGGATCCCCATTAAAAACATTATCCGACTTGGGCATTCTCAACCAAGAAATAATAATCAATGTCGAGTTTTGTCGCTGCGGATCAGCTCGTTAGAAGTGTCGGCGACCAGCGATCAGGGTTGAAACTTGTCGCGAGGCTTGCGAGTTCCCGGTAATCCCCAGACTAGGTGGGAAGAAAGAAAAAAGAAAAGAAAAAGCTAAGCCTCAGCTCTGGCGGTTTCGCTATAGCCAAGTCGGGTCCGATTATGGGGATCCGGTTTGTATTTTTGATGTAAAACCCAAAATATGTTAAATCGGCATTCTGTAAATCAGCATTTTGTAAAATCGGCATTCTGTGAATCGGCATTATCAGCTTATACCCTTTTTCCTACCATTCCAGGAACGCCTAAAAACGTGACGAAAATTATTTAAATGGTGTTTTTGGTGACATTTTAATTGAGAACATTTCAAGTAGAAAAATAAAAAACCATAACTTTTTAGGAGGAATTTTTGGCCGGAAATCGATTTTTTTTGCGTTTTTAATCTAAACGTCATTTTTTGACGTTTATACTAGTAAAAAACAGTTCAGGAACACTTCTTGGGCCTATTAGAGAAATTGGAACCTTAGAAAAAGCTGCCCCCCGATAATGCGAAAGAACCGAAAAACTGACGATTGTCCATGGGGCAGATGACGTCCTGGGGTGGCGGGACGAGGGCCTTGAAGAACGGGTTGAAGCGCTCCTGAAAAAAAACCAAATCAGAGTGATTTCGCGCTGGAAACAGCTCGGTTCTGGGCTATTAGCGGGGGGGGGGGTGGGCTTTTTATTTTTCCTGCTAGAAAGTTATCAAAAAAATATTAAAAATTTGATAAGTTAAATAGATTGATAAAAAGAAATAAAATTGCATTTTTCATAGATTTTTGTCCAAAAAGTCCTTTTTTACATTTTTACCAATTTTTTATATCCAAGCGCTGTAAACTGCCAAAAAAAAATGGTTTCTATTTTTTGGCAGGAAGGTTTCTTAGAAAATCAGACGGAAAAATTCCGTTTTCGCGCCGCTAACAGCCCGCAGAAGCCGAGACGACACGCACCTTGATCTTGTCATAGTACGAGAACCGGAGACAGCGTTCGATGACCTCGCGCACAAAGACCTTCTTGTTGTTGTAGTCGCCCTTGTCGAGACAGTCGCCCCATTTCGCCCACTCGTACTGGTAGTCCATGTTCGCCAGGTTGAACGTGAACCATTGCTGCAGCCTGGAAAAACAACGGGTAATTAATTGGTAATTTCATTCGACACTGCTGAGGCGACGCTAGCGAGCCGTGTGAATTGCGAGAGCGGACGCCGTGGTTTTTCCCCGTTTAAAGGGGCCCGGAAATGCCTTATTACGGCCGGAAAATCGGAGCCCTGTACGTGGGAGGGCTCTGTACGCAAAGGGGCGCGGGAAGCGCGCAAAATTGAAATTGCCTGTTGTGACCTCGAAATCACGTTCTCGGCTGTTTCTGGGCCAAATTTGATGATTAAAACACCAAACGTATTTAAAATTAAGTGAGGATTTCAAAAATGGGCTCAGAATGCGCGAATTATAGTGTTTTCACAAAGAACGCGGGCAAAAATCGAAAGAGTGAGCGCTCTCGTCCCGCAGCCCCCGCTGGCAATTTGCCAGAAATCAAAGAGGAGCCCCTTTAACGGCTCCCCGACACTTGCGGCGCGACATTTGCGGCGCGACACTTGCGCCCGACACTTGCGGCGCGGTCATTTGCGGCGCGACACTTGCGCCCGACACTTGCGGCGCAGGATTCATTAATTTTAAATGTTCTAAATTTAGCATTTCTTCACGGATTTTGTTCGTAATTGTTGGATTTGTGTTCAAAACTAGCAATTTAACCGAGCCGCAGTCGGAACGCCCCTGAGGGCGTCAGGCAAGGTGGGCCGTCGCTTCGGATGGGCTGCCGCTCCACTCTTTCTAAATCGAGGCGCCTGGGCGCTTCGCGCTCCTCGGGCGCCCCGATTTAGAAACCCTGTACGAGCTCGCACCCATCCGAAGCGACTAGGCCCCGGGTGGCACGAAGCCTTTTTCTAGTCGCAGAGCGGAGGAAGTAGCGGCCACTTTCCCTGCAAATTGAGTGACTTCGGTCGCAAACCCGACTTTTTATAATTTTTTAATGCCAAATTCGGATGCAACTTATCAAATAACACCTTAAACTATTTTTATATAGCTCATACTAAATAACCGCAAGGTCGCGCCGCAAGTGTCGGGCGCAAGTGTCGCGCCGCAAGTGTCGCAGCCGCAAGTGTCGCGCCGCAAGTGTCCGCGCCGCAAGTGTCGCGCCGCAAGTGTCCGCGCCGCAAGTGTCGCGGTACCCTTTTAACGGCGGGGGGGGGGACTAATTTTGCCCCAGTAATTCCCTATTTTTATAGCCTTTTACAGGGAATCTGTCAAAATCTAGAATTTTCAAAATCTCGAAATATGCCAATGTTGGATTCGGGCGTAGGCGTGCAATTTCCGGGGCGCTTAATGCTGATTTAGACCATCGAAAATTCGATATTCTAAAAATTCGTGATTCAGATTTTCGAGACGTTGACAGATCGCCGGGAGCACGACCACGTACCGATCGACACAGACGGGCTGCATCGTGTCGAGCCGATCGTAGAGCAGTTCGACGGCCACACCGAGCACTTGGGGGACGGTGGCTGCCTGATTGTTGCACAGGTCGATGATGACGGACGCGTAGACGAGGTGATTGTGGGGGGCCGCAGGGAGGCGCAACATTTGCGAGAAGAACACCTGCAAAAAACACGGCAATAAATAGGTCATCTAGAGCCGTTAAAAAGCCCTGATTTAGGTATCGATCGACAGCTCTCGAAAAGGCGAGAAACCCAGCACTTTTCGCTTTCCAGGTTAAAGCCGCATTTTTACCGGTAAAATTCCGGAAACGGCTAATTTTCGCGAAAATCAGCTCCGAATTCCTGCTCGAAAAGGGCGGGGAAGGAAAACGCGGTTCTTTGGCATTATCGGGGGCGAGAAGATTTCTTCTTATCAGCGAATTTTTCAAATATAAATGGCTAGTGTTTCGAAACAGTTTTTGACGATTCCGAAACGCAAAAATTTGCCAAATTTGATTAAAATTACACGTAAAATGGATTTTTCGGTAAAGATTTCGACCTTTCCAAATTTCCAAAGTCCTAAGATAGTTTTCTAGCTACAACAGAACTTTATTTTACTAAAAAATTATGAAAATGCTTCCGATTAAGTGACAAGGCGTTACTGGATTAATGCAAAAAAATTCTCTCCCCCGATAATGCGAAAGAACCGTAAGATTCAGCGAATGATACACAATTTCATCAAAACCGGAAAACGCTTGTTTTCTCGCCTTTTCGAGGCCTTTGGAATGGTGTCAAAACGAGCACGATCCCTTTCTTTCTTGGAAACCCTTAGATGGTCGCGCTTTTTTTTTCAAGAACAATCGGTGGAAAATGGCAAATTTGCGGTAAAACCTTACTATGCCGATTTTCGCTATGCCGAATTTTCGCTATGCCGATTTTCGCGATGCCGATTTTTGTGCAAATGGTGAATGTATGTGTGTAATGTGAAAAAGACAAAATTCATCATGGTGGAAATTCGGCATCGCGCCATTCGGCATAGCGAATGGAACTCCCAATTTGCGACGTTTCTGAAAGCGCGTCTCTTGCTCACCTCCATGATGCAGTAGTGGAGGGGAATCTGCGCTCGTTTCGGGTAGTTGAGCAGGGCTTTCACGCTGAACAAAAAAGCCGTTGGGGGTAATGGGACCATGTGCGTTACCATTGCTTTGGGTCGAGGAGATTCTGCTCGAGGATCCAGTTGATCTCCTCGTCGATGAGGAAACGCTCGATTGAGTGGGCACCGGGGAGGACGGGGCCCTGCAAAAACGATCGCATACAAATGACGCCCCGAAATTCAACGACACACGGCCGATTTTGCGTTTTTAGTTTTTCAGAATTTTCATATTCAATTTTTATTTTTTTTATTTTGAAGGGTGTTCCAGAAAAATAAGCCCCACGACGTTTGGCCGTCTTCTATCGGATCGGCACCAAATTTTTACCAGCGATGGATGGGGACCCATAAAAACTATGTGCAGCCGAATTTTTTACCCAAAATCTTGTAAAACAAAAAAAGTTATCGCTAAAAACTGATTTTTATGGAAACGGTGGCACTCATTTTTGGCCATGTTTTCGCAATCAGCATGCCGCTTTGAGGAATTTCCCCCAAAAATGTGCATTTTCGGGCGGGTTTCTGTCAGCTTTGATAAGAAAAAGTGATGCAAAATTTCAATTTCAAACGTAATTTTCGAAAAGCAAAAAAATTTGTCCGGGCGGCAAAAGTGCCCTCTCCATTTTTGCTAAACATTTCGAGGCGCAAATCCGGCTAAGTCATAGTGAAATCGGCAAAATAAACCTGAATTTCGACCTAACTTTTTCGTTTTAAAGTATTTTGCTTGGAAAATTTGGCTGCACATCGTTTTTATGGGTTACGTTACGCAAAATCAGCAGTCAGCGTGAATTTTATGCAAAAACAAGGGGGGGGGCTTTTCTCCACAAAATGGCCTCCAAAATTGCGTGCCGAAAAACCGGAAGTTTAGTGGATCTAGATCGAAAATTTGATTTTTTTTGACGGAAAATTACCAAATTTTCGACTTTTTCAAACATGTTTCAAAACTTTAAATATAGCAAATTCGTGCTAAAAAAACACAAAACAACGGACCGGCGGGCAGTGGGTGTAGTCGAAGAGGCGGAAGACGATCCACGGGCTCGGGTAGTTTCGCGCGGTCGAGTGGGGCGGCGGGTTGAAGGTGGGCAGATTGTGCTGGAGCGCGTCCTGCAGTCGATCGTCGAAAGCGATGTAGTGACGGCCGATGAACTGCTCCTTCCACCCGGCCTCTCTAAGCGTCGTCATCTGGGCCCATAGCGAGTCGAGGTAGTCTTCTTGGTCATGGCCGCCCTCGCCCGTCCACACTTGCAGCAACTGCAAAACATCGTCCTTTTTTGGTAGGATTTGGGTTCTGGATTGTTAGCGGGGGGAGAGATTTTCGCAAGGGCGAAACAAAGATATAAAATATATTTTGTAAAAATGTGAAAATTCAAAAATTCTTGACTATTTATGGCCATTTTTCATGGATTTTTGACAAAAAAAAATAAAAAATTGTGGAAATTTTTAGAATTTTTTCATTGTTTTTCGATGTAAAAACGGAATAAAGGACCAGGAATGGGAAATTCGCCAGTTAAATGAAGCTTTTCGCCTAAACACCGCCTAAAAATGGCAGCTGTATCCCCTCAAAATCCCCGATAAATTGCCCGGTGCTTTCGCATTATCGGGGGGGGGGGTAACTTTTTGTCCAAATATAAATAGCGCAAGTGTTTCTAAACTGTTTTCTACTATTCATAAACGTAAAATATAGAAATTCTTGATTAAAAACTACAAAAAACCCGATTTTTCGACCAAAAAAATTCATTGTGGCCAGAATCTAAACAAAAAAACCTTCTAAGTTTTATCAATTTGTGTTTCCACTCCAAATATAGTTAAATTTTACTAAGAACACTATTAAAATTCTGAATATGAGTACGACGCCCCACCCGATAATGCGAAAGAACAGATTCGCCTGCTAAAACGCCAAAAAATGGGGGAGAAAACGAAAACTTGGGAGAAATCCCTTTTTTGGGAACAGCTACAACTATCAAAAGAGTTTTCGCATCCCAGAAAAGACACTTTTTGACGTTGCGGGGCCAGCGCTTTCTCTCTATTCCACAAAAAAAACCAGCCGATCAATTTCGCGAGCAAACACGCCAGAAATTCGAGAAAAACAAATCATTTCCGGGGCCGAAATCCACTTTTTTTTCTTGGAATTAGATAAAAGGATCAAAATCTTCCGCACATGCAGAACCGACGCGTTTTCATGCGGCGCCTCGCTGCGTTACGGCCAGCGGTTGGCGACTGCACGAATTTCGGGGCCGTTCAAATTCTGGAGCGCGGGTTGCTGCGATACCTCGACATGTTTGCGGCTTCTGGCTTCGATGTAGCGGCTGAGCCCGTCGAGAATGTTGTCGAGCTCGGACGTCTTCTTCTCGGCCAGCTCGCCACCGATCCACGGCAACGAGTGCAGCACCGCGTACACGAACCAATCCGCGCGCACCTAAAAATAAGGGTTTTTTGCGTTTTTAAAACATCGTATGGTTTCAAAATTGGTGATTCGCGTCTCAACTCGGCCATTTTCGCCAGAAAAGCCGAAATTTCTGAATTTTCAATACAAATTAGTATTTTTGAGCTTAGAAATCGTCAAAAAACGGTGTAGGAGCACTGCCGCTATTGACATTGGGAAACACGGAGCCTAAGAAACAACGAAAAAGACTTCAAAAATGTTTTCGACAATTTTGGCACTGTTTAGGCTCGAAATTCAGCTCAAAATGTACCTGAGGGATGTCCTCCTCGAAGGCGGCCTCCAGATATCCCTCGAGAAATTCGACGACCGAGTTCAGCGACAGCACCCGGCAATTCCCGAGGTCGCACAGGAAGATTGACTGCAAACAAAGGAAGGTTATTGATGAAAAACGAGGGCAAACCCACGAGATGCAGGGAGTAATTGTAGTTTTCCGCCTCGAGAAACGCCTGCAGGTCGGCGCACAGCTTCTCGACAATCTGAAAATGACAATTGTAGAGGCCTCACCCGAAAAAAAACACCCGCCTTCTAGCGGCCCGGAAAAAAAAGTGCCATTTTGACGATTTAGACATCGAAAACGCCCCGAAAAAGCGAGCGGATTTCCGAATTTTCGAGTTCTCGCCATATTTTTTGCAATACTTCAGCATTCAATACTGCTAAATGCGATCCGAGTGCTGCCTTCCCAAATGGCTTGCGCAAAACCCCCCCGAAAACGCCCACGCACGAAAGAACAAAAAAGTTGTTTTTCAAGCCCAGTTGCTGGGCCGGAAAATCGCACAAAAATCGCAACATTTCCAAGCTCAGAACACCCAAAATCACCGACTTTTTGAGAGCTTTGTCGTTGATGCCTAGATCTAATCGAAAAAAGGACGCTTCCGGGCCGCTAGTCTCGGAATCCTGCGTAAAAAAGCCGCAGAAAATCGGCTACCTCTCCGCCGAACGTGTAGTGCTTGGCGTTGAGGAGGCCGACGAGCGTCGAGTAGACGGTCAGCTTGTGCGGCATGTAGACGACGCTAAACAAGATGAATTGAAGCGTAGAAGGGCTGATTACCAGCTGGTGAGGACGTCGATCACTTTCTGGCGTCGGTGCTCGAGCTCCTTGTCGAGGAGGGTGACCATCTCCTCGATCGAGCTCTCCAACGAGACGGGACCCTGGAAGAAGAGTTTTAAAAAACGGGTAAACGCTACTCACCGGGTCGCCGAGCTTTGATAGCAGCTCGTGCAGCTCGGCGGGCGGCTCGACGACGCGGTCGCCCATGTCGCCGCGGGCCCGTTTTGCCGAGACGGCGTCCTCATCTGAAAAAAAGGAGTTTTAGGAAATAGGAAACGAAAAATTTGTTTATAGGCTAAAAACACCCACCATATTCGATCCGTCTGGCAAAGCTCATCCGAATCGAATGGCGGCGCCGGGGTTCCTGCAAAAAAAAAAAACGGATATAAGCATAGATTTTCATCCCGGAAAACCAGAAAACACTGTAAAAAGCGTAAGCTAAGTCCAAAAAAGAGAAGCCGACACTAACTCCGGCAACTGTGAAGCCAGAAAACGGATAGAATGAAGAAAATGAAGCGAGGTTGAAAGGGCGTACCTTGGCGGTAAAAGTAAGTTATTTTAGGGCCCAAAAACTTTTCAATATGCGCATCACCACGTTCTAATGGGTTAGCTAAAGTAGCGAGGGCGTATTTTAGCTGTAAAAGCAATCAATTTGGGTTCCAAATATTAGAAATACGCGGATTCGTACAACGTGTGGCACTTGCTAAACACCCGATTGCAAGTATCGCATTTTCTCGCGAATTTTAGCCGTCTAAACAGCCCGTTTTCAAGTAAAAGCCTGCTATCAGAATAAACGACAAAACAGCGCGTAGGTGAACTAGAAAATACCTCGTTTCTTTGCCAATCAGCAGAAAGACAGCCAACAAAAAACCGCGACGGCGAAATAACCAATTGAAATGCCGAAAAAGGCGACCGATAAAACAAAACAATTTATTCGACTGAAGCGCTCTATCACTACAATTCCTTTATTTGTACAGGTAGACACGATACAAGAATGAAAAACGAAAAGACAGATGATGATCGTCCGTCTGGCATTTGCTTTCATTTCTTCAGCCGTTGCTCGAGCGGGCGCATCACCTGCCCGAATAGCTTCTCGCCGAATTTGCTCTCTTCATACTAAAAAAAACCGGAGAAAGTTTAGCGCAACGGCCGGAAAGCAACCTTTGGTGCGTACTGCTCCTCGTCGGTCTTCACGTCCGTCCCTCCGGCCAGGCTTTTCCGCAACTCGTCGGCGAATCTAAGAAAACGG